ATGCCCCTCAGGCCCTGGGGGAAGTCAAAAGCTCAGCAGCAAGCCCCCTGCTCTTCAAAGTGGAAATGAAGTGTGTGTGAAGACGAGGTTCAGGGACCAGGGGGTTAGAATGAGCACAAGCTCCCAGGTTGTCCCTTGATGGGCCCTAATGCGAGCTGTTTCAGGCCACCGGGATTTAAGGACTGACGGTCACTGCAGCCAAACCCAGGCTGACCACAGGATACACCTGGGGGCTGCCTTACACTGTTTAATAGAAAAGCAACAACACACACACAGCACATAATAACGCGACAGTTGGGGAGACACGGGCGCACCCCGCCGGCTGCTATTTGCTGCTGCTCTTGGGCAGGGGCCGGTAGACCCCGACGACCACAGCGTGGTCCCTCTCGTAGGGCTCCAGGGTCAGCTGCTCCTGAGGCTTCAAGTTCTCCTGCTGCAGCTTCCGCACCTCGGAGGCGAACACGGCCTCGGCGGACGCGGTGGAGTCGATGCAGTTGGCCTTGATGGAGATGAGGAAGTGGCCCCCGTTGCGCAGGAAGGTGTGGGCGTTCAGAGCCACGATGCGGGACTGGTCCGGCTGTGCCACGTCGGCGAAGATCACGTCCACCATGCCGATCAGCATGCGGTACTTGAGCGGGTGCCGGGCGTCCTCGAGCACCGGGATGATGTTGGTTCGCTTCTTGGCCACGTTGACCAGATCGCGGCCAGCGCGGTGGGAAAACTCGACCGCGTAGACCAGGCCGTCTGGGCCGATGATGTCGGAGACGTGCGAGACGGTGGTCCCCGAGGCGGCGCCCAGGTAGAGCACTTTGGCCTTGGGCTTGATGTGGATCTGGTCCACTCCGCCCAGGATGGCCGCCGCCAGCTTGGACCGGAAGGGGTTCCACGTGCGGTACTCCTGCTTCACGCCGCCCTCGGTCACCGTGACGCGCCGCTCGCCGTACACCGAGTGGCCGGGCACCATGTTCAGCGTGACCAGCGCGTCCTCCGCCCCGCGGTAGATGAAGACGCCCTCGTGCCGGTGCGGCTCCACCGACACGGCGCTGGCGCCCTTCTTGCGGCGGCTCTTGCTCTTGGCCGCGCCCC